TTGTTTGGGTTTTGTGTTTGTTTTCGTTTTCACAGGGATAAACTAAAAGTTGTAATCTTGACTTTTACCATGCCTGACCTAGTAGCTTTTTATAGATAGAGGTCTCAAAGAGCCATATAAGTGGAATATTTATAACTAATTGTAAGCAAACGTGGTGAAGTAGATGTAGTTTTCCTTAGTTAATGAACAACATTTTACAATTAGTAAGCAACTGCATTAGTTTATGATCCTGCACATCTTTTCAGATCAACCAGTCAATCAGAGACTAGAGCACTGTGTGCATACACATGTACTCTACAATGAGCAAAACAGTCTTAATTTTATTGTTCCATGACGCAACACGCAAAAGAATATAGCAAGGTGAATTATATTTTGTGTATAATGAACAAACAAGAAGGGCTGTGTCACTCATAAACATGTAGCAAGTGTAATCTGGGCTGCAATGAGTCAGTAATGCCTTTCCTAACGTATAACCACAAAGGGGAGGCTGTGCCTGTACTAACCTCTAGGCTGTAACATTCATTTTCACTAGTGTTTTCAGTGTCAGTGGAGGATCAAAGCAGATGATGGCTTTCTGCTGGCAAAAATTCTGCCTGAGAGCAATACTTCTCTATTCCAAGACCTTTTTTTGCAATTTTCACATATATTGCATTATGTTAGTTCTTAATATTCTGCATGGTTCCTGTTATATTATTTCAAACTACTTACCCCTTTAAAGCAATATCCAATCATCTTCATAAGCTGTGTTTCATAGTTTTCATTAATTTATATTTAAGGTTACTTCAAGGAAGGGATAACGTCTCCTGCTTGTACAGTAGACCAATGGCCAAGACAAAAGCCAAGTTCATGGCTTTCTATGTCATTGGTCTGTGTATTTTATATGGCACTGTCAGAAAAGCTTTGTCATAGCAGGAGACTGTAAGATGTGTCTTGGGATAGTCACGCACTGTAAAGCAAGCTGGGTGTGAAAGAGTTCAGAGATGAAAGTTGATGACTAGACTTAATGTGATGTGAAATGTTTTTGTACAGTAGCTGTCAAATGCTGTCATAATTACAAAAGACATGATTGTTACTGTAGATCAGTGGCTTAATGGTGAGTAACCAGAAATAAACAGACTGAAGGGGTTGGAACTGGTGAGCTCCAGGGGTTCCTTTCAACCTTAAGAAACTCTGTTTCTTAAATAATTTTGTTGATATGAATAATCCACTGCTTTGTCAAATAAGCTAAACAGGCAGGGTATTATTTTTTCTCTTTGAGCAGAATTGCCTTTACTGCTATTTGGAACTGGTAGAGATGTGGCCTACATTCAGTGCTGTTAAGCTGGTTTGCATACAGGTAGGATGTATGAGAAATGCAGTCACAAAATGTGCTTGAGAGGCGACACAAAAGGTTATACAATCCATGCTCCTGCCCTGGAACAAGATTTTCTTGTTTGCCAAGCAATCTGAGAGCTGGTGCTAACAGTCAAATATTGATGACTTGATGATTTTGGTGACCATCAGAATCAATTATTATAGGGAGGAGGTTTAGAGATTAGGAAAAAATTCTTTATTGTGAGGGTGGTGAGAGACTGGTGGAACAGGTTGCCTAGAGAAGCTGTAGATGCCCCAGCCCTGAAACTGATGAAGGCCAGGTTGGATGGGGCCCTGAGAAGCTTGATCTAGTGGAAGGTGTCCCTGCCCATGGCAGGGGGGTTGGAACTAGATGATCTTTAAAGTTCATTCCAACACAGAACATTCTGTGATTCTCTGATAGAACCATAGATGTTGGAAAGGACACCTGGAGGTCTGTCCAATGCCCTTCTCAAAGCATATTCAGCTAGAGGAGGTTGCTCAGGGCCGTGTCATGGTGAATTCTGAATCTCAGTAAGGATGGAGATTCCACAGCCTCTCTGAGGAATGTGCTCTGGTGTCTGGCCACTCTCATGGGAGTTATTTTTATTTAAACCAGTATCTAGTCAGAATTTACCTTGTTCCAGCTTGTGACCATTGCCTTCCGTCTTTCCACCAAGCACCATCTTCTCTGTACCCTACAATCATGTAGTTGTATTGTGATCATTGTTTCTTATTTGCACTGAAATATACCCTAAAGAAGCAATACTGCAATCCCAGCTCTTCCATAGTGCTGCAAGAGGACAGTGAAACTTCTTTACAGAAAAGCATATGTTTTTTATTTGTTTGGAAAGTATTTGTGCAGAGGCTGTTTCTTCTTGTTTCAAACTTGCTTTTGAATAATTGCTAGACAGAAAAAAACCCAGCATTGACACAGGGCAGTGAAGGACTTAAAAAAACCCACAACAAACAAACTTTTTCCTATTTTCTAATATCTTCCAAGGAACAGTGGTGTTACACATTAACATTTATGAATCAAGAAACCTACTGACTAGATTACCTGGAGGCATTATTTCACTTTGCTAAAACTTGGAAAGAGTAAGTTAAATCATTCTGTTTCTGCTACTGAGCCTCCATTAAGGACAGAACCTGCAAAACTGTGTATGCATGGGTGTATGCATGCATGTTAATGCATGCAACTTGTGTGCCCAGTACATGTGCACACCGATGCCTTCCATAAAAGCATTTTATCACTTCACAGTTTTGTGAACATAACTCTCCAGGCATAGCTGTCTACCAGTGCACATAATTTAATTAATGTGCTTGCACAGACTGATTCCATGGCTTCACTTAGTAACTAGAGAAGAGGAAAAGTTACTCTGTAACTACAAATCTGTGAGGTACAGAGGGGAAAACTATTATTTCACATGGAAATTCCATGAAATCTCCAGCTTTTACATCAGAAATAGAGTTAGCAGTAAAGTCTAGTTGTTTTTACAAGTCATAATAATTTCCAAACACAAAAATTTCCATACTGACACAGAGTGACCTTCATGACTCTTGTTATTTAAAGATTCTGTTCAGCCTTTACGACGGATTAACTAAACTCTTTATTGGAAACTAATAGATGCCCAATGATCATTGATCATCTCCAGGCTACATAGACTGTGCAGAGCACATTCCAAATTAGTACTTTCTCCATGCATGTGCTACTTCCAAAGGGCTAATATTCAAAAATCATGAGGAAAAAAAAGAGATGGAAATCGATTACAAGGAAACCTTTTTATGCAAAAAATGTGAATGGAAATTTGGTTCTCAGGATGCATTTATTCTAAGAGCAAAAAGATGCATTCTGTCATCAAGACAGTTTTCGTTGGGAAAACTAGTTTTGGTTCAATAAGGAAGTAAAAACATCTATTTGACATAAACAAGATATGAAAACGGTGAGAGACCTATGCATAGTGAGCAATATAAAATAATTGCTCTGTAAATTGATAACAGGAAGCTAGAAACATGAAGGAAAATCCATAGCAGATATTTTCCACATGTACTTGCAGTAAAAAAAAAGAAGTCATAGTGAGGGCATAGGTACTTCTAAATTGCAATGCACAAACTGTTAAAATAAAAAGGGTATTTGGTGCAGGGTTCTTGGTTTGTTTGCTTGTTTAAAAAGAAAAAAAAAGTGACTTCAGTAGATCAGCTAAAAACATTCCTCCACTTGATGGCAACTGTTTATTTTTGTCAGAGGTGTTTTGCTCATCTGGAAGAAAAGGTATAAGGTATAACTCGTTAGGTAATTAGTTTTGGTGAAATCAGTTGGCCTAAAACAAATGTACTACTACTTCTGGGAATGACATGTTTTACTATATACCTGCCCCAATCATGAGTGCAGACAGGGACAGACATACTTTTATAGTGCTATAGAAATATATGCCTTGAAGCCAGGGCTATGTGTTTAAATTAGGCAAAAATTCCTAATATATAAAGCAGGGAGCACATTAGCATGCTATTTCACGTCAGGCTTATTTTACAATTTTATATATGGCTTCATTTCAGTACTACTTTATAAGTGAAAATCTTTATGGTTCAGTTTGGGCTAAAGTTTGCTCTTTGTAATTTCCCATTTCACTGATGACCGATTAATAGCAGTTCAAACAATTTAACAAAAGAGTCTGCCTTACTAGGACTTGGATGTAGATCCACCCTAACAGTTTTATTTTAGTATTGAACTAAAATTGCAGGTCACCTAACACTCTGCAGATTGCAGAGGTGTAAGTAGAAAAATTCATTGCAAGTAGTATGTCAGGGAAAAATTAATATGAAAACAACAAACCAACAACCCCTCCCCCCCAAAAAAAGACCCCAAAACAGAACAACCGAACAAGAAGGAAAAACAAAACCAATAAAAACAAAAACCCAAACATCAAACAAACAAAACCCCAAACAAACAAACAAACAAACAAGAACCCAACAAAACCAACCCAAACCAACCAATCAACCAAAACCCATGCCCCGACAAACACATTCTTCTGGCTACGATTTTTTTTAATGCATGCATATGGTTATAGTTTATCCCACAAAGCAAAGGCTTTTACATGAGTGGCTTTTACATCAGAGAACATAAATGTTCTCTCTACACCTGATGACCAGCCCATACCACTCCTTTGGCTTTTGTCTGTGGTACCAAACATTGGCCACATAGCATCTGTGGCCAGCAGAGCCTGTTCAGCGTGATGCAGGAGTATCGTACACCAAGTGCCAAGTGGGAGAAAAGTGGCCTCCACTGTCAGCACCAGTGGAAGAGGTAACGAGGAAAATTTGAACATCGAATTTGAAAACTTTTAAGGGAAGAGAGGCTTCCACGAGGTATTTTAAACAGCGTACCTCCCCGCAGGAGGGGATGTGGGCAGAGAAACACTTGCCTATTGCGATCCCCAAACCCATGTCCTTGTTCTTCAGGAAACTTCTCCTGACAGGAAACGCCTCCCTGTGCCGGCCCAGCCACCGGCTCGCCAGCGGCCGGACCGGCCCCAGCCACAGCCACAGTCCCAGTCCCAGCCCCAGCGCCGTGCCCGGCAGCAGCGCAGGGCGGGCGGGCGGGGCGGGCGGCGGGAGGAGCGAGGCGCGGCCGGGCCCGGCCGGGCCGGCACAGTGCGCAGTGCCCGCCCGCAGTGCCCGCCGGCGGGGAGGCTCCGCTGCCTGGCCGCTGTTCTTGCCAGACTTTCGGGCTGCTCTCCTTTTCGCAGACTTTCCGTGCCCGCGGCATGGCCGGGCTGTCACAAGGAGAGCGCCTGTCCTTCCGCGCCTTCCGGGCCGCCCGGCCCGCCGGGTGCGAGTACGGGTACGGGCACGGAGACGGGCTGAGCGGGCTCCGGGAGCGAGAGTTCCCCCGGCTCCGAGGTACAGAGGGGCGGGAGGGGGCGGGCAGGACGGCGGGGGGCGGGCCGGAGGCGGGGGACGCCTGGGCCATTCCCGTCTCGACTTGTCCCCGGCCGGGAAATCGCTGGTGCGAGGAAGCGGGGCGGAGAAGGAGGATGCTGGGAGAAAGGGACGCTCTCAGTTTGCCGCAGTTCTCTCTGTTAATACGGAGGCGATAGTAGGGCGCTCTCCTCACTCTCCGCTGCTCCCTCTCCCCTAATGCCCTAGAGGTGTCATGGGTCCAGTATTTTGATACAGCATTTTGATACAGCGGCAAAATGCAAAGAGAGATGTTCAGGGCGGGGGAAGGAAGGGAGGGAGAAGTAAAAATGGTAAAACAGCCCTTTTCTAGCAAAACTTTGTGGTTAGACAGGCCTCTGTGAACTACTTTTGCAGATTGGCATGGATTTTCCCATTCCCCAACATGCAACGTCCTTGCTTGCACGTGCTGCTTCAAATCTAATCGTGATGGTTATAAGACAACACTTTATTTTACTTAGAGGTATCAATGCCCGTGATATTAGCACTTCAAAATACTTCGGGGAAAAAACAGTTGGGAGTGGAGTAAATAACATCAGTTTGGATGTCCTGAAACTGCTATTTAGGCCACTATCTTAAACTTTCTTAACACTGTTAAGAGTTTTGTATTACTTTTTTTGTAGTGTCTTTGAATTTTGGTCATCAAACAAAGGAGTGGGTTTTCTCACACAGGGGTGTTTAGTAAAGAATGGAGCTACACTTTGCCTCTAGAGGGAGGTGGATAAAAATTAAGCACCAGTTTGAAGAGCCTTAAGTCAATTTCACAGGCTGGTTTTAGGCATAATTAGTTGCATCACTGAAAGTTTAAATGCAAGAAATTGCTTGTCCTAAATTCAGACTTGAATTCTGAAGAGTGAGTGTTTTGTAACTCAAACATTGCTTAGGCATTTAAGCAGATAACTTTTCAAAACTCCCAAGAGTCAGACTCGTTTCTCAGAGACTCCCCAGTTTTGAAAGGTAGTGTATCTGCTAACAAATGATGTCTGGTGAATCCGACTGGTTCCCAAAGACAGGTTACTGCAAAGGCAGAGCATTAGGAGTTTTCCTTCATTTGAAAACGTTTTGGCTAATGTAGGCTACTGAGTTGCACTTTGGTTATGCAACCTACTAAAATAAGATGGAGAAGATAGATAATTTAGAGTATTTGTAGGAAAAGACAAATAGGTATAAAATAGAATCTGCAACAATATTAGCTAATTGAAGTCACATAATTGTCTATGGTAAGATGACCGACGTTGCAAATTCCTTCAGACCTTTGTTTTTCCCCTTTAAAGTTTTAGCATTATTCAATTTAGAAACCATCATCCATTTATCTTGAAAGCTTGTCACCTCTGTGAGGAAACTCAGCATCCCTTAACTGATTGCTGTACCTGCATGTGGTATCCTTTGTCTTAAAAACAGTGGCATATCTCCTCTAGTCAAGAACTTATGCCTTCAAAAAATACCAGCAGTGCCAAATGAAAGGTGTCGAGGGACAGATTCCTAGGCCACATGTCCCCTGCCTTACATGTCTTTTTGTCTCAGAACTAACTAATTGGATAAGTCCAGCACAGACTACAGGAACTGGCTGACAGTGGAGCAGTGTGTATGACAAGCACGTTGCTTGTATTTATACCTTTGACTCCTTTTATTTATCCATGTAGGTATATAGCTGCTTGCTGAAGGTCTTGGCACATTAATGTTGATGTTATAAAAAGTTATTTAAAGCTCTAGATTTTGTTGTCTTGTGGAATTAAGGCAGAGGAGATGTGGCTGTTGTATAGGTTGGCAGTACCAATAAAGGAACCTTCTCCAAATGACTTACCAAAAATAAGAATTTAGCTGTTCAACCATTTTCAGTGGCCTGCCAGAATGTGCAGGTTGTGGAATGAGGTAGAAGTTTTACATCTCTGATGGCCTTGGATCAGCTCTGTGGATAAGTCCTGACTGTACAAACAGTGATTCACTAAGGAACTTGTAGCTGTTTATTTGGTTGATCTCTGCTATGTGTCTCCCTCAGCACAAAGTTGCTGCAATTTTATCCCATCTAAGAAAGAGCAGTCTTGTTCTACTAGGCAAAAGAGAATGAGTTCTGTTTTAGGGAGTTAACAGTAATCATAGAATGAGAAAATGGTTTAGGTTGGAAAGATCCCCTTAAAGATCCCCTAGTTCCAACCCTCCTGCCATGCGTAGGGACACCTTTCCCTAGACCAGGTTACTCAGAGACACATCCAACCTCCCCTCACCTCCAGGTGTGGGAAGTCCACAACCTCTCTGGGCAACCTTTTCCAGTGCCTCACTACCCTTATAGTAAAGAATTTCTTCCTAGTGTCTAATCCAAACCCATCCTCTTTCAGTTTGAAGCCATTCCCTTTTGTCTTATCAGTCCGTGTCTTTGGGAAATTCTCTTTCCAACCTTTTTGTAGGCCCCCTTTAGATACTGAAAGGAGCTCTAAGGTCTGTGCTCTGTTTTTTTGGGGCCCATCTTAAAGATCTTTCCATCATTAAAGCTGGATAAAAGTCTATATTTTGCTGCTTGCTTTTCATGTGAACAGAATTTTTTGAGTGCCTATCTAGATAAACATGAATTAAGCCAAATGTTCAATTTTGGAAGTGTAATCTTATGAGCACCATGTGATAATAATTATTGCGTATCAATGCATTCAGTTCTTCCTGATTGCTGATGTTTTGTGGCATCCTCTCAGGGCATCTTGTGCAAATTATGTTCTCTGGTGAAGGCATAAACTTTTTCAGTGTTACAAACCTTCAGTTGCATGGTGCTTGCACTTCTGTTTTAGCTCTAGTATGAAGAGTTGCACAAATGCCTGTTGAGAAGAAGGCACAACAGATGTGTATAGGGAACACCAGATACCAGGCATACTGTGACACCAGCTTTTTTCAAAGGTGGTCTACCTGTGGTCCTAACAAAGTCTTGGGGAGTTTCAATTATGACTCCATCAGATGGAAAGTAAGGTTCATACTCAGTGTGTTGGGGATTTCCCCTTCAGGTTTTGTGAAGAGATAAAAGGAACTACTTTACTTCCTTAAATCAGCAGGGAACTGTCTCTTTGGCACAGAAGCCTTAAATTTTTCCTTTTAAGCCAAAGTTTATCTTCACTTTTGTAATTCAAGGGCTGTTAGCTGATGGCTAGAGCAGTCCCTTCTAAAAATATATGTGGAGTCTGTGAAACGGATCCCTGTTTCACAGGCAGCAGCGTATGTGCAATATGTGACCTTGACTTTAATCTTGGGAGCAGCATACCCTTATCTGCAGTGTAGGATTTTAAATTGTGCTTTCAGAATGGATAAGGAAATCAACAGGAGTTTATAGGTTCTGTTGTTAAGTAATGGGGATGAATATACTTCTGTGATGTTTATCATAGCAAAGAAAATATCAGGTTCAGTTTGTATTGTGGTTTTAAAAAAGGAAAAGCTGACATGTGATTTCGAGGCAGAATTTAATCCCAAGATACCTTTCCACTTTCAGTTGTGTGCCAGTGTTCTGTAATATAGCTGTGGTGGTTCAATGGGAGCTTTCCAAGAGCAATAAGCAGTGGATATCCATCCTCCAAATAAAAATCAGCATGTTTTTGAGAGCATGTATTCTTTAAGGACTGCTGAGTATTTGATAACAGTCTTTAACTGAGGTGAGATGGACTGTCACACTTAAAGTCAAAGCACTTGTTGTTCTGTACTTCAACAAAAGTCATGACAAATCATGTCTTACCTTAATAGCGTGAATATTTGTGATATGTGTGATTACATACAACTAACAATAATAATGCAACTTGCCTGTTAAACCAAAAGAAAAGGCAAACTAGGCTTTGAGTAACAGAATTGGGCTTTATTTCTTTGGAATTCAAATGATGTCCTGTGAACCAGTCAGCTGTACAAGAGCTTATTGTGTCGTTCACTTAAGGAATAGCTGGGCACTGGATCTGACCTTACACAAAAATAAGTCGTTTTACTCATATTGCTAGTAATTATTTGCACTGAGACTTTAGTTCTCCTGTTAGTAGGAGAATGGTAAAAGCAGGTCTTCTTTGTGCGCTGCAGTTAGTCCTCAGAGGCTCAGTTAGCAAAAGTCAGCTCTGTCCTCCGAGAAGAGAAAAGCCTGTTTTGTCATGTTTGGGATAGTCTGGTGTTTTGGCTGAATTTCGGAAGTAGGAAATACATTCTGGTTTGTCAGCTCAGGGTAATTTTGTTGATAGGTAGCTGATGCTCGCATTTTACGAAACCTGTGAAGATGAGTGTACTGTAAGCCTGAAGAGTTGTGCTCACCTCATGATTGCAAATGTAGGTGGGACCTCAGATTCTGTACTACTTTGCCAGTTGGCTTACCTTGTCAAACCAGATATTCTACCAGCCTCATGTCTGAAGTTTTTCATTATTTTGAAAAATAATAAAAAAAAAAATTGGAATAATTTTTGTATCCTAAAATAATTAGAGGGTTTATTATTTTTTTACATCTATGGAGGTTTTTGGGGTTTGTTTATTTTATTTTTTCTATTGTTTTGGGGGTTTTTTTTGCAACTATTCTGTTTGATCTGTTAGCTGTCTTCTGCATGTGTATATTTTACTTTCTGCTGACTTCTTAATTACTAGTTATTTTTATCTTTGGAAGAAACTTTTTTATCTCATTGTTCCTTTTTCTTGAAGACTAAGTGACTGTATTTTCAGCAAAACCTTTTATAGTAAGGTTCTTTGAGCAATAGTTTTCTCTGACCAAGTTAGTGATATACAAGTCTGATCATGCTGTTTAGAAACCAGTTTGATAATCAGGGATTAGTTTATTTTGATTCATTTTTGTCTTAAGTGTATGCTGAACTGGGCATGTGCCATTTTATGGTCAGATGTAATGCTTGTGATTCCATGACTCTCACCTACCCGTTGCTGGCCAGAGTTAAGCCAGGCAACTATAGTCCTGGGAGAGACAGCATCTCGTGGAAAGGACTAATTATTTC